GTCACATGTCATAGTGTGGTATAGGTCACAGTCTGCCATAGTGTGGTACACGTCACAGTCTGCCATAGTGTGGTATACGTCACAGTCTGTCATAGTGTGGTATATGTCACAGTCTGTCATAGTGTGGTATACATCAGTCTGCCATAGTGTGGTATATGCTACAGTCAGCCACAGTGTGGTATATGCCACAGTCAGCCACATTGTGGTAGACGTCACAGTCTGATATAGTGTGGTATACGTCACATTATGTCATAGTGTGGTATAGGTCACAGTCTGCCATAGTGTGGTATACGTCACAGTCTGCCATAGTGTGGTATACATCACAGTCTGCCATAGTGTGGTATACATCACAGTCTGCCATAGTGTGGTATATGCCACAGTCAGCCACAGTGTGGTATACGTCACAGTCTGATATATTGTGGTAAAAGGCAAAGTCTGCCATAGTTTGGTATATATCACTCTATACCAGACTTGAACACACCACCAGTCAATGATTTCTTATATGTACGACTCCAGGGTTACACACTATTGTTCTCTTGATGAATGCTACTTAGTATAAACCGTTGCCAAGGTGACAATACTCTAACGAGAAAGGGGATTTAATAATACTTCATTCGGAGCACATATTTATCATCCTTCAGATAGTTCTGTAAATGGCGAAATTGAACTCTGACCCTTATTTAGTTACCGCGAAACTTAATGTAATAATCATGAAACGCACATGTAGATATTTGGATAAATTTAACTGGGTAATACCTCATTAAGCTAAAACAAGGATCCGGCTATAGCAACACACACGGCAATGCTCAGTTTTACTGGTATTTAAGCATCATATCGATGATCATACGCGATATGAAGGCGGGATATGTTGTTAACTCGGATGGAATGGGAGTGGTGTTCATGAATCTCGCGATGCGTTAAACTGAACTTAAAAAGCAATAAATAATTTAGGAAATATCCCCGTCAGCCACCGATTCCCATCCCCAATAGTCTGACGGCAAGGTGAACAATCGAATTACATTTTCTGTCGCCATGGGCTTTTAATATTACGACAGCAATAAGAATGATTTATTTGGTTGATATATGATATTTATCATATTGATGACCGCCAGGCGTCATTATCGGTAAAAACAATTGTACATAACCAGAAATACCATGCATCGATCGAGACTAATTTCAGGAAGACTTGACGATTTCATTTTAGTATATCCAGCGGCATGGTACACGCTATGAATGATTTAGCGATCTCCGTAATTCTTGATATGTTTTCTCTGTCAATAACTGAATTGTCGTCACCAGTGTCTAAGAATTAATAATGCTAGTATAAACGACGAGTACAAAATATCCACCGTAAAACTCGAGCATCGGTATGAAAGTTTTAGCAGTGCGTGATATCAAACTAGACATCGTGTGCAAGTAGCCTGCAAGCAATTTGTGACGGAAGACACTTTACTATCTTGCCGGTTGTTTGGGTGGTGACCTTTTTTTACAGCATAGGGTGATAGTACGTGGGTGGGTGAACGAGGCATATGCACGGTGGAGATATTACTTTATTATTTGATTAGATAGGAATGCATGTCCAGATAATTTTAACTCCAGTGTCAACTTTGTGCTGGCATTTTGCGGAATGAACCAATTAATTTCGTTAATTGGATCCCCATGAGCGTCAAGAAGTCAGTGCCGGCTGAAATTTCTAATACGTATTCACACTATCGTCTTAAACGCGCCATGGTGTTTTAATTAGATACATACACCCACACACCCACACACACATACACACGACGGTTTTAATTAGATTTGTTTCATCAGAACGCAAACGATGGATTTAATATCAAGTTTGGAATTATTCATTGAGCGTGTCTTAAGTCTGTAATTGTTATGCATCGATTGAAGGAGTTATCTGTAGTAGGGCGACGTTGTGACTGTATTTTTATGTCCAGCCGCGTAATGGTTATTCTCGTATCATGCATCATCCACACGTCAGTCAGTTGGTAATTGACGCAATTTTCTTAACATCGTCTTTGTCTGATATGGCTTCTAATCGTCATATTCACACCCACACGAGACCGGGAAACGTTGCTAATCAATATACCGTTCTCAGAGTTATGAACTGGCCCACACACTTTTGCAATATGCGACTTTTAAAATTTAGTTATATCTCCATGGAAAAAAGGAAACTTATACAGGGTTATTTTCAAATAAATATACAGCAGTTTTATTAGTGAGAAGAAATTGTTTTTTGTGTGTATTTCTCCCCCGTAAAAATCAGTATTATTGGTCGGAAGAAATCACTAAGCTTCTCTGCTAAAATGCCATGTTATCGATGAAGCATGCGCTATCAATAAATAAGCGGATAGACGAATGCAAAGCTATGATACGTCTACGCCGTTACCAATTCCACACACTCCGGGGGATAGATGGGGTTGTCAAAGTTATTAGAGACGTATGCAAATACGATAGAATCCTCTAGATTTATGTCCCTAATAAGTATTCATTGAGAAGACAACAGGGATTAAACGCGCATGTCGCACAGTGTTATATTAATGGTGCATGTCGAAGCAAACGTCATACACGTATGAGCTATTACTATTGGGATAAGACTGTGATTATACAGTTATGTGTAATCGGGGGTTACTATCAGTTACAAATATATTCAGGTCAATGCTGCTGAAAAAAAAAACAGGCATGTATTGCTAGTGTTCAGACAGATGTGTCAAAGTTGGTAATTCTGACAATGCCTTGCGCGGAACGTGGGAAAACTGCGTGTGGTGTCAATGTGTAAATAACCCCACCATGACCAATATTCCATAAAGCACACAACGTGGCAGAAATTAAAAGCTTCGCAAGTTCACAGAAATAAAAAAAAAATTATCACAATGGAATAGTTGACTGCCATGATACTATAGTATATTAGTGCGTTTTTTATTATCACTGACGCGCTGACACGCACACGGGAAAAAAGAACGACAAACTGATAAACATCCTAAAAAAGAACATATAATTGTATTTTCTTATGATTTCACGCTCAAAAGATCGGCCAAATCAGCGGATACAATAGTCTTGGCGCCGACTCAATATGATGAAACAGACCACAGTCTGTGACAGAACTCAGCAAAAATAACATTACTTTATGCTGCAGCGCCCCGGGGCAACCGTCATTTATTTTGATAGAAGCAAATTCAATACAACCGCAACAGTAACCAAAAATTGAATAAAGGAAGAAACTATACAAATATCACATTGACAATGGTGTAAATCGCCGTTATATATATATATATATATATATATATATATATATATATATATATATCGATCTGCATTCAAGGTCAAAGAAGTGATTACGGGCGATTTGATAGAGTAGGCAATATGTCTGTAATTGGCATTCATTATATACATCATAAGTAACTACGCTTAGTTTACTAGGCAACGTATGTTACCAGGGAGCGAATAAGCACGACGCCAACGAGCGAGAATAAAATCATAACTATTGATTTGGTAGTAGCATGTAGTAGCGTGAGTACGTTATGGTCTATCCAGTGAATGGGTCGGGGGGGGGGGGGCTCCGAATACTCATGGACGCCACTGTATCATTTTGTAACACGATGTTCAAAGGTAATTAATTTCTTCTGTTTCAAGTATTCCCTGTGCTTTCATTCTGACGATTATTAATTGATATGCCCGTCGCTAAGGCCGCACAATATAATTGAAATTATATTTTTCATATTGCATGTGATTCAAATTCGAGGCAGAGTATGTTCACGTGCTACAAAGTGACGTATTTTTTTCATTAGCGATGATGGTCACTTGATTTTGCCGATATTACAATTATGTCTCCCATAAAAGATATCGTGCTCTATTCAAAAAATCATTTGTGCCTTTCAACCTGGATAGGATAGAATGTTCGGTCATAAAATATAGTTAAAATGATGGGACTTTAAAAATAAATTTAAATAGAATAATTGGCTATTATCGTGCAACATAGTCTATGATCTAAATATTTTCGCGTAATATTTGATAATTTTTCTCGTAACAGTTTTTAAAAAATCGAATATCATTGTCTGGTATACAAATCGAGAAGAAATGTATTATTTTGACAATGGATTATAATGTTATGTTTCGTTAAGACAAATATTTCAACAAGCATAGGATTTCCACATTGTTGCCAACATTAGAAACAATGCTGTAATTCAACTGAATTCTCTGTAAGAAGCCAGTTTCGTCTTCGTGGCGTCCAACTTTTGAATGATTATCTAGCGTAATTAGGGAATCTAATGTGGGTGACATAGAGTAGTTGTCACCAACCACTGAGCTAATCCAACGAGTATGACTTGTGACTTAATAGTAGGTGTGCGTCAAGATATAAAACAACTTGAATGATTACGATAGATGAGATTTCACTCTCTTATATCACACTCACAGAAGAAGGATCTGTTCTGCTAGATGGTAAATGCGTCTGGTCACAAAAAGCGCAGTGTTCGTCAAATTGTACACCATGACACAGCTGCAACGAAGTAAACGTATACCTTGAAAACAGGCATAGCCATTTCGAGCAACTTTCTATCGTTAGACTGCGGTGACAGCCGTCTGTGTTGTATATATATTTATATACGCGAAGCACAGATCATGTACGGTTATAGTCACCATTTTGTTTTTCATAAATCCTAGCTAATAACTAATTAATTCCTTCAATTATTTATTTATCATATCGCAGTTTCGTAATATCAGTAATTTGAAGTGATGCAGTGGACACCAATCATAGCGACTGTATATTTGACGTCAGCGTGACGCCGGCTGTCGTTAGACGGGCGCGCGCGCTTCGCGGAGTTCGTCGGTGCCAAAGAGCCTTTTAATATTCCTGAACTGCAGTGTGTGCAGAAAGAGTCAGAACCGTTATCGTCAGAACGATGTTTGACACAAGAAACCAAAATTAATTTTGATAGAGAGTGGGATAGGTGGGTATCAACCTTAATTTCATAAAATCAGAGGAATGGAATACTTACCTAAATTAGGATCGTATTCGTTTATAAAACGACGTGTGATAAACTTCACGGTTAAAGCTGTAACAAATAAAGACGGACATAGCATGAGTCACCGTGTCACCGTGCACACCACTAACAATGTTGTTAATTTATTTTTCGATCACCGCTATCCCGAACGACTACACTATAATTTAAATCAGGCGATAGCATTGCGAACTCCAACTGAGTGATCCGAACAACGTAAACATTGTCTCCGATAGTTTTTATGATATAATTGGTTGACATAACTCGGAATTTCGGCATCTTTATTTTTCGCCCATCCCCATTAACATGTAGTTTTAGACAAACTTTGCCGCCCCTGAATCGTTCGGTTGCTGCGCAGTGGGGATGTGAATGAAGACTACAGGAAGCAACCATCGACAATATACCCACTGTATAAACCGCATACCCCAATCATATGTGAAATTTGAAATACGATTTATTTGATTTAGAAAATAGCGTTTGGCAGTAAAACCAAGTAGAACGGTGCAGTGTATCTATCTTCCTGCAGATCACTAGACGCCACCTTTATCTGCGACATTCGACCTTCTTATTTAGAACAGTTGCCTGCATTGTTCCCTGGCGCAGGGAACTGAAGATTTATATCTGAGACCAGCGTCAAATAAATCTAAAAAAAACGTGGTGGGGATAATGAAATCGCAAGTGTAGAATACGTATTTTCTCCGTGAAATGTAATAGCCTGCCATCGTAGATTGTCGTCACGCGTCAGTGGGACTGAAGCTTAAAGCTAAAGCATGGGAACACATCCCGTGTGACCATCTAACTTATAATGTGTTAACAAGGCTGTACGAACTATATACAATGAAGTTCAGATCGAGGAAACCATAAAGCCTATCAATGACGGAAACAAACAACAATAATTATTGTTACACCAAATGAATCCGGAAGTTAATCTGTCAATCATTTTACCATCAACGGTCGAGTACTTTATCATTATCAGATATCCAACGATTTATGAGTAAAGTTCACTGTCAGGCCAATGTTATCAAACATCGTATGTGGTAGCTTCCATGTATGAGATTGTGGTATCATACAAAGGATGTGTTACCGCTATTTCTGGTTAATTTCACGTCAATTCTTCAAAGATATAGGGAATATTAACTCGTATATTTCGATGGATTCGGTATGTGGCCGGGCAGATTAATAGTCAGTTGAGTGAATGTTCTCTACATTCGATAAATTAAATATGCTCCCTGAGTGTGACGGTAGTTTGTATTGCAATGCCTGAATGACAGACACCCATTAAAAATACATCGGAAACCATTACCTGATTTTCCAACGCCGAGACTTCCCAGCAACGCAATCTTAAACTCCGGTAGAATCATGCCACTTGCACCCGTACTACCTCCACGGGTTCTCTGTTTTGAAGACATTGTAGTATTTTACACAGACTTTCGGAGAACAGAGTTCAAACCAGCCACAGCGTTTACGTTATACAGTAGATTCCTGTTCAGCCTGTTTTAGTTGCCCATGCCCTTGGTATCCTAGGTTGGGCAGATGCCAATTAGACGCAGAAGAAACAGCTTTCATAAACAATGTGTGATTGTTCACTCGTCACTTCTCTCAGAGGCGCGAACACACGTCCACGGTAACTTCAAAAAATTTGACAGGACGTAGGTCTAGTAAACTTATCATACTGTGGTCCTACAATGTTTTGTCCCGAGTTTACCCATACCGGAGTTCAGGCCGAGTAACGAAATCACTGGGTGATTCTATTATATCGCGGGGGGATGTCGCAATCACTTTATTGCGTTCCTTCGACCAATCCTCGTACGGCTTGCTCGATAGCGTGCGTCACTCTGAAGTATGAGACGCCCTCTTCACCGGCCTCTGAGAATACGAGTCGTTTTTGTTTTACAATAAGTATTCAGTAAAAAGGTCAAATCACAGGGTCTTGTATATCCCGCGGCTGTGAGAACTCTCTTAAGAGCTAACTTGACGACCATGTTCTTACTCAATGACGTCCACGACGCAAAGGTCCTGACATTCTCAACTAAAATGAACAGTTTGCGATTCCCAGTCACGTTTTCCTCCTCCCAGTCGTCTCACTAAAGATGACACAATTCGTATGGCTTGTTCTCCTTGGTCGTAGTTCAGTAGGTTCGTAGTGCACAATAAAATGCATCATTCCGCGGCGCAAAGAATGACAATTATTTTTTGACATTGTTTTAAATTATGAAACTTACTAATTATGAATGGATATTATCGACCACAACCGTGTGAGGTCAACAGGCGATGCATTCCCCGAGGATCAACAGATTAAACATAGGTCAAGTTTCGAGCTATCTCTCCCAGATATGTCGTGTCGACTACTGTGTTTAGAGTATAGGAAAACAATCATTAATATAACGTTGACGGGCTACCGACCGCGACATGGATACGGTAAATAAGGGTTCGAGGATCACGGTCTCGCCTGGTATTTTGTTTTTTTTCTTCACGTTTTTGTTTACTCAGTATGATTAATTTGTAGACCGAATGTCAAAACTCGCTTCTATTGAAGGATAAGCCACATGACATGACCATCATGTCAAGCACAGATACGGGCACGCCCCATCCCGAAGGTATAAACTCGGTATTTTGAAGCCAGAGACCGGGAAAGCGTATGTGGGACATATTATTTTCTTGCGTGACCTTCATCATATGTATTACATGGATGTCCAGTGTTTCCGCGTTTAATCGTTTCCGAAAATCATCGCGAGCTGTGACGCAGATATAATGTGCGTTTCGACTGTTGGTGGCGTACTTTGTGCGTACTTTGTTGGTGGCTTTTTTGTTATCAGGTAGTGGAGAAGGCTTTTTGAAGTAACACAGAACCATACGGAGTCGCTATGTGCAATGAGGTATGTAATTTACGAAAAATTATAATGGTGAGAGATTTTATTGTTGAAGGACGAGACATTTAGAGAAATTCAGAGCAGGGTGGCCATTCAATTCAGATATCGCACAGGTGTTAACACTATACAGGTATTGGTGAAAACAATGTACAACTACACCAACTGCTGACAGAAAAATGCATATTAATCGTAGGTCGATCGCCCACTAGCATGATATGTAGATAGGCCAACAGCAGGTAAGTGTCTGTCGTCATGAGTATGCTAGGCCGTTGCTGGTACTGACACTCATTTCGCGAACGGTTCATATCATACATCGTTACTGGAAATTAACTAAGCTAGCTAATTAGCTAGCTAAATTAACGGCGATGACAGTACATCGTGAAATATTCAGTATTGAATATGACCCACCCATGAAATAATGAGCTCGTCCGACGGGTAACGGCTACTACAATTTCAAAACGATCCGCAAATCGTCCAAGTGGTCGTGATGGTTGGATATGCTCTATACTCAAATACAAAAGTGTCAAATAAACGTGGTAACGTTATAGGATATACGCCATCTACTGGCACAGTACTGGCATTGTTGCGTACCTTAAGGCTCAACCATGCGCCGCTGAAACCAGAGTCCTTTTCAAAACATGTACACCGGCGATTTGAGTTGTTTTGTTATGCCAAATGCCGATAAGTAAATTGCTATGGTAATTAAGCTAACAATCAATACACTTGTTTTCATCCTAACAAAGTTCTCTTATATCGCCTTGTAACCAAACGTGTAATTGAATTGTAGTAGTGTAGAATAAAGAGGCAGAATTCACGATTGTGGGTTAAACATATGTTTCTCCCCCAAAATACATTATAGGATTAGGTGCGTTCCATATGATAGCAATTTTACTATTTTTGGGCTGTGGCGACGCGAGATACTTCGGGTACCTTCGTATCGGGTATTTCCAGCGTCCGATTGACATGGTCACTGTGGTTTCTCTGCGTGTATTTTACGACTGTGATATTCCATACTCGGGGAAAAACGCCTTAGCGACTACCGCCGTGTAACACATTTGTGAGTTTAGTTGCCGTGTATTTTTCCACTGATGGAATTCCATTAAGAAAAGTTGTATTTCCTTGCTAAATAGGGATCGCATTGAAGCATTCTTTCTTTTGTGATATAACCCAACGTTGGGTCAACTTTAATTAAAAACGAAATGTATCGAATTCATTTATACATTCGTTTTAACATTCAGAAATCAAATGTATGTTTGTTATCAACTACCCCAGTGACATACCATGTCCAAATAACCGGAAATTTGGCATAAAAACAGAATCAGCTTGGGCTTTATAGTAGGATACATGTGAAATACATCTATTGTACACCATTATGCAATATAATTTTATATGTATTTTCCAGGCAATCCCGACTCGTCGTGCAATATCATGTTAGTACATACATCATACCATATCTATATACTTATGAGAAACTGAATATGAAATACGCCTTTATTATAAAACATTAACTGTATATAACAAAATAAATTAATAAATTAATTCCCATTTGTACGCTGGGTTTCACGTTGTATGCTTTCTTTGAGAAGAACTTGTCTTTATTAAAAAATAAACAGCAGAAGTCTAATTCAAAACCTTTTACTTGCAGGTATTAAATTACCTTGTTGAACAAATATAAGGGCGTTACCCAATCTCTCAGGCAGATTTCTATTTCTACAAATATATACTTTCGGTGTTTTGGTCGCAGGGATCTCTGGGAAGGAGAATGGTCATTACCACCACGTGCCAGTGTCAGATATATCAGTGCCATGGGTCTCTAGAACACACTAGCTGGTTGCTTAGGATGTTATATTATGGATGCCGCGTGTGGAACAGGGTGGTTTGCTACATGTTTGTATATTATAGGATTTATAAATTCTATAATGGATTGGATTAACAATAAATATATCGATTAAAGATGATGTTATATACACTATATCAGTTGTGCGATCCCTGGATGCCTGAGTGTGGTAGTGGAATGTGTTTTCACAAGGCGTGTACTGTGTTCATCACTGCAACCTAATACCGCGATTATTCATGAGTCATGATCCGATGAGAATCGGCGATTCTGTCGAATTTTGCGTAACAATCGACGCACTATACATTCTAGTTTATATTTATTCACTCAACTTTTAATCCACTCGTGAGTTTTCAGCAATGACGACTTTTCAGTAAGTGTAATGTTTTAAATACTAGTTTGTTTGATAGCTTGGGTAGTTGTATAACATGTGTTATAACCCATGGTAGATTTCACAATTTGTTATGATATACATATCATGCCCATCTCGCGTGTTTGTTTCACTGTCAACCACCCTCATTTGACGATGAGAAGAATGTAATGTTCAAATATTGGTTTCTGTTTAACCCCGTAGACGTCACGGCGTATAAACACTTTGATGTATAAGAACGCTTTTATAGGTTTTGTTTGTTGCTGTGTGTTGATTCAGCAACGGGATTGTGTTTATTAGTGAAAATAAATTGTTCTTCTGACCCTGCACAATAAAGTACTCTTCTGGTGAAATAAACTAAAATGCGCCTGCGCGTTGAATTAGGGGTACGTACTGTTAATTAAAACTACTAATACTTTTATGTGTTTTCTGCATTCCCATGTCCAGTTTATCATAACTCATAATCCAGGTTGTGTATCAATATGCGAGTTCGAGAACAAATATTATAAACATGTACATTAAACAGTCACTATTTAGCGAAAACAAAACTCAACATTGAATTATTTAAAAGCAACTAGTGGTAAAAATAAATTTAAAATTTGCGTTGTCGCTTTGCTAGTAGTAATGGCGATCACTCACACCATACATCTGTGAGGTGAGTGAATACACACCAGTGGTCGATTATAACATGTTCTGTTTAATGGCAAAATTACGTCTCCTTTGGTATTCTCGCAAATTCTCTACCAACATGGAAAGTAACATATTTTCGGTAGAAGTATTAAATGTTTTAAGTTAGAATCAGCAAATTAGAAGCCGGAAAATTTAAATCACATCGACCAAGTGAATTGTCATCGCCTACGAATGGCCAATCGACGACAGCGTTACAACTGGTGATTTCATGAAGTAATGAGAGACAGGCCCGTTAAAATTATTACGTTCTGTATATATCACCATCATTAAGGAATCACAACTGACATATAAAAACTACAATATATCAGTAATTAACTCATGAAAAACCAATGTACCGGTCATTGAATGATTTATTGGACTCACATAAAAAAACACGTAAAAATGCCAAATGTTTCATTTCACAGGTATTAATCTGTAGCTGAAATGCTGATAGTGCAAGACAGAAATCTACAAATGTCAAACGTACACGATAAGCTATCGATCACTACCGAAGCCGTCAGCGATAAACATGAATGTCAAGAAAATTATAACAAATGAAACATACTATTGTATCTTTCACAGTTAAAATCTGCAAAATATATGCGAAAATGCGTGACACGACGGGAAAATATGCCTAACTTCAGGGTCTATCTATCCTAGCCTGGAAGTAAATAGGTTAATATACAAGTAATATTATAAAAATAGTCTTACGTGCCAAACGATGCCGAACTTTATCGTTGTATGCATGTGGTGGCAAATTTTGGCTGGCTGTTCCAAATGAAAACGCCAACACCAAAACTGAGATGAAACACGTTTCCTCCGAAAACGAACATTGTATTATTGCAGATACACCGGGTGGCAGTAAAATTTAACCTGTTCGCTGCCATTTTCCTGTACGTTTTGATATTTACTTTGGCTGTCACAATAAACTTACTTTTCAAGTTGAAATTACAAATAAGCTAAAAAT